GATAACAATCAGCAAATGAATAAATGGGAGGAGAAGGGTGACTAAAAATAGCTATTCAAAGGGGGGGGGGCACTGACTGAAGCCTTCAGTCCTTGAGGGCGAAAGGAAGAGAAAAAACCATCCTCTCACTCTTCTTAGCTTTCCTTAAACACCATGAATTCAAATGGATTTCTTTCAAACTATTTTTTCTGCAGCTAAGCCACTTTAAGATGTTCTTATTTGGAAGAAGAATTGCAAACAGACCCAAAGGAGTGTGGGTTGTTATGCTGCATGGATCAACAAGAGAGCACATGAATTTCACTGTTCTCAATCATCCCCAACTGCATACCGTTTGAAGTTTCTCTCTGTGTGTGTGCCATTTTTCTACAGCGTTTCTATCAAGACTGCATATAGATACAACCCAAAAGAGCTGCAAAAAACTGCCCTAAAAGCAAGATAATGGTATCCAGGCATGGAGCTCTTGACAACAGTAGGGAAGAAACAGTTTTAGCATCCAAGTTTACCCTACAGCAGTGGGAATTCCTGATAGTTTCCCATCCCACCAGTTACAATTTACAGTCCTGCTTAGCTTTTTTGGAAGGCTGGTTGAAGTCACCTGCTGTGACTGAGGAAAAAAACTTCAGCTATACATTACCTCCTTTCGAACAATAAAGTGTGAGAAAATCAGAAAACAACTGCTGTCCATTAACGTGTAAGCATCAGAATGAACATAGCTGATCTTTGACACATTAAGAAAAACCCAGAAGCCTATTCATTTGATATTAATAATGGTTCATAACATTTATCTGCGTCTTCATGAATGTGCAATTAACATACATCAAAACCACTGGATCATCCATTCATGCAAATCCCAAGCACAAAGGTTAAGATCATGCTTTCAATTTCAAACAGGTCACTACTATATTCTACTAAACCCCAATTGATAGATTTCAGTATTAGAAATTGGTTTTAGAAATTTACTTAAGGATGCAGTTGCTTTCATGGGTAACAAAAACTAATTTTAATTTACTGTTGCTTTTAAATGTAACTCTGCTTGAACCAGTGTTTTGATGCTAACTCCCAACAAAGGCCATAAAAATAACTAGCATTCGCACACTAAAATCAACTGCATGCATGAGTGCCCCAAACCTCAGAAGGTCACAACAGACAGCAGGAGAATATAAAGAGCCCTGTTTTTTGGTCTTGCATTTCTTTATCAACATATCATTACTAGCCTTTCTGATTGTATTTGGAACAGGAAAGTGCTGAACACTCTGTTCTGATGTAGCTAAAACACAACCTAGTTCCCTTCTATTATCAAAGAAGCAATTGGTTGGTATACCAGAATGAAGTACATTATTTCCAGACTAAAAAGCAGTGTCCATCAACACTAAACATTAATTTTAATCAAGAGTGGTGAGAGGGATGGTTACACACACTGTTTGCATATTTAGGATATAGTTTGGTCAGTTTCCCAGTCAAGCCTACAGTCTTGGGATTTCCTGATGATGTACAATCACTTTCTGATTTAGCTTTTTCTCCCCCACATCAGCCAGCTGAAATGTACCCTTTTGATTCTCCAAAAGTTGGAAACCAGTAGGTAGGCTCTGAGAACAGTGTCCAACTGTTTTTAAAAATACTAAGGTATCTATTTCAGGTATTAAAGTTGTTAGAACTCTCTTCGCTATCAGGAGAATAGATTACTAGTGATTACAGCTTCCAGCAGAATATAATATCTATAGCTCAGGGTTCAACTGTGGAGTCCTTGGGATTCTGAGGGTTAGGGTTATGGTTAGGGATTCTAAGGTTGGTTGTTTGCATTCACAATTGTCAACGCAATTGTGAATGCATTTCAATAGATTTGTTCCATCTGTTGCTGGTTAGCTACAACAAACTCATAAGTTTCTTCTTTTACTGACAACCAGAGGACAATGTAGCATCTTCCATTATTAACCAACTAGGTAACACCGGTGCAAGTGAGGATGAGGTTTGCTCCCTATTTATATATAGTCAGTGATAGACAGACAGATGTTGGATAGATAGATAGATAGATAGATAGATAGATAGATAGATAGATAGAT